TGACATCTTTCCCCATATATAAATTATTACTTTAAATTATATGATATGCATGTAGCATATAAATGTTTATATTGTTTTTATATATTATAAGTTGACCTTTATTTATTAAACTTCAGCAACCCTACAGTATATAAGCTTTTTTTCTCAATAAAATCAGTGTGCTTGCCTTCACTCAGGCCTCTCCCATCTGTTAAACCTTATTTTGTGACCCGGCTCTCGGGAGCCACTCTGTAAAATCTGTGTACACCAGTATTTTGCATTCAGTATTGTCAAGGCCATGACTGTCGTTTTAGTAAACTTGTTAAAATCAGATGATGTCAGAGTTGTATATAGGTAGTGATAGCCCCCCGCTCCTGGGATACTTCATATTTGATTGATTAATTAATTAAAAGAACTGTTATCGCCTCCATTGAAAATGAAACCCAGCAGCTTTGAGCCGCACATTTAATCCTGGCCAGCAAGCTCACCATCGGGAGCTCACTCTCCTTTCTCTGCTGTCGGTTTCGCCAATCAGGATTATGATCTGTTCCACTGGTATGGTCCTGGCACAACAGCAGTGAACCTGGCAATTTTAGTGTTGGAAGTGTCTTCTCTGCACGTTTGTTGTTTGGGGTGGTTTAAGGGTTGGATTTCTTTTGGCTTTGGTTTTTGTTCTGCTTTTTTGTAAGTGAGTTTCTCCCTTTTAGGCACAGAGGAAAACTTCTTTAACTATTTGTAACAGAATAATTGCGTGGTTACCCAGAAGCAAAGCGAAAGGGATCATGAATAATTTACTCATTGGAGATCTTTGGGGGGCACGGCCTCCCTCTGCTTCTGGTGGCCCCCACTGGAGCTGCACAAAAAGTTAGAAAATGCTCATGCTTTGGAGTCAGACCTGGGTTCAAATTCTAGCTTCTCCCCTGTGACCTTGGGCAAGGTTTTGAAGACTTCTGAGCCCATGTTTCTCAGGTTCGAGAAGTCAGATGGGGTCTAGGGCCATGCCACCCTGAAGAAGCCCGATCCTGTCTGATCTCGGAAGCTAAGCAAAGTTTGTTAGTACTTGGATGGGAGACCACCTAGGAAGACCAGGTGCTGTAGGCGTAAAAAATAAAAAATAAGGTCCTTGCAATTTGTGAGGTCAACCGGGGGTTGCCTCGCCTAAAAATAAAAAAGATGGGGATTCCACTTACCTCACAGGGCTATCCTGGGGGTTTGATTAAATAACCCCTGTCGACCTCATCGCGTAGGGTAGGCATTCGAGAGTGATAGTCCCGTCTCCCTGCCTCTCCTCTCCTTTCTCAGCTGTTGCGTTCCTCTGTATCAGTTTTGGTTGATTCATCACTTTGAAATGTGAAAGCTCAAATGGAAGGAAACTTTCCGGTACCTACGAGGTCCCAAGAGGGGTCACAGCAGCAGAGCATCACTGTGGGGATGCCCACAACTGCCCTGCCACGGCAGGCCTGAGGAGGACACTGGTGGTGTGCCCCCAAGACTTTTTCCCACTGGGAAGCTGTTTGTCCTATTCGGTTTGAAACCTAAGGACTCCCATCTCCCGTCTCGTGGGGTGTGCGAGGTGCCCACTATCCCATCACGGAGGCCCCCATTACTGCCCGAAACCTTGTCCTGTGCCTTCCCTGGATTGCCTTGCCTTCAAGGCCTGCATGTGCTCTCTCTACATAGAGCAGCCCACACCCCAAGATTTCTCTACCGTATGCCTAAGTGAAAATATGTCCTTTTGTACCATGAACACTTGAAACAGGCTCAGCAAATAGCAATGACTTTGGTTAGGAGCATCATTCTACTGCACTCGATTCTAGATGCCTAAAATATTAGGGCAGGAAATGAGGAATTTGCCGCATGCCCACTATATGCTAGGCACTTTTAAATGTAGCCATTAGTTATCACAAATTCTTTGCAGTAGTCAAGATCATCTCCACTTGAGAGGTGAGGAAACCGAGGCTTGAGGATTTAACTTGTCCGTGATCACTAAGCAGGTAAGTGGCAGAGTATAGATTGAAATCTGTTTGAATGATGACAGATTTCTTGTTTCTTCCTCACTAATCCCTTTCCGCCTTCTGCGTGGCACATTGCATTTCGGAATGAACATTAAAATCCTAGAGAAATAAAAAATGTAGTTCTCTGCATGGAAACCTTTTGTACCCTGGCTTCATGACCCTATATCAAAACCACAGTAAAACCACTGATAGGATAATGCAAGTCTTATGATTGACCCAAGGCTAATTCTCAAGCTGGAACTTAGGCTCTTCTAGGCCTCTATTCCAAATGGGTAGAGGGCTTGTCTAGAGAGTCTGGCTTCCTCCGGAAATGAGCTTGCGTGACAGAGGTCCCAGATCCCACCCTGGGAAGGCAAAGTCCCTAAACAACAGGCTTGAATGGAGAGAGTTAGCCTGCAAATCAAGAGTGATTCTGGAGCAGCATGCTTTGAGGGGAAGTGCAACTCCGAGGAGAGAAAGTGAACCTGGGGATGAGTGAAAACATTCCCGTCAAGAGTGATTCTCAAGCATGCTTTGAGGGGAAGTGCAACTCCGAGGAGAAAGTGAACCTGGGGATGAGTGAAAACATTCCCTAAAGGAACTCCCGGCTTCAGGCCATGTGACAGCTCTGTCTCTCCCATATTGGGTGACAGAGCAATGAAGCATTATCTGGTTCTATTGCAGTAACTTTATTAGCATAAAAGGTCATTCAGATACTGCCAAAGTCAACATATCAGGCATATGGGTCCAGGACAGAGCTTTCTTCAAGGTTCATAGAAGGCTTATTTCTAGCCTATGTGCACACAGCCATTGCGATAGGTTGAAAATTAAACTCAGCTCTGAGCTAGAAGGGCTGTGTGGGCTGGTGTCTGGCTTCTGCAAAATGTCACTCTTTCATCTTCCCTTATTGCTTGGATATCTTTGGATAACTTATCTGCCCTAGTAGGGGCTTTCGACATCATGAGATTCTACTCCAGAGGGGTGGAGCGTCCAGACTGGACAGTCCTCGCTTCCTTAACGAATGCTACACTGAGCAGCTCTGTTGGCTGTCGGTGGGAGCTTCTCTCTGCCCTCTCATTTGTCTCTAAGGTTCCTTGATTTATGGGCTGTGTGAACTTGAGCAAATTGTTTAACCTTTATGAGCTTTTATTTCCTTGTTGATAACATGAGGATAGTGCTTACTTCATAAGGTTGTTTTGCCGTGTAATGAAAACATCCAGTTCTTGGCATATAAGAAACCCCCCGGAGTATAACTGATGATGATGACGATGATGACTAGCTTGGGGGGAATTTGCAGGAGCTCTCATTCTGGAATTTTGGTAGGAGTTTCTAAACTTCACAGCGGATGTGGATTAATCAGCTGCTCCATGGGAGACAGTCCCCGGGGACCGGTCTACTGGCCCAGTCTTACTGACAGGACTTGAATCCTCACTGGACACACGGAGAAGGATTTCTAACCCTTCTCAGCAAAACTACTAGCAACCTATGTGATTTCTGAAAGAGAGAGGGAA